ATTTCCCCAAAAGATGAGAGGGCAGCCCTTGGGTCTACTGTCCCCCTTCCACTCTCTGACACACCCAGCTAAGCCTTCAGTGGTCAACCTATCCCGTTCTGACAAAAAAAGGTAGAGGAATCAGTCTGAATGAAATAAATGTGCTTCCTTGGAAAACAACAGTGTGATAACTGTAGGCAATCACAGTATTTATAGCCTCAGAGAAGACAAAGCAGTCCTACTGAAGCAATCTGCATTTCTGGGGACTTGATGGTGAAGGTAGAGTACCAAGCAGCCTGGAAAAATACTGGTCAGCAGAGAGAGAGGTGCAGGTCTCTGCCCAAGACTGGGTGCCTTTGCTGGACAACCAGCAGGGGGTACACGTGGATAGGCCCTGAACTGTGACACAACCCTTTTTTTCACAGGCCCTTTGTTAATCTGAAGCTGAGACCTTCCTTCAGAGCACTTAGCTGTGTGGGAAATCACACTCCTCTGCTGCACTCCCAGGCATCTTCCCTCCCTCCCATTACAGTGCCAGAGCAGTAAGATAATGAAGAATGTTTTACCCCACTTTCCCTGCACTAATGTGGAATGGACAGTTCTTCAGAGGAGTCCTTAAGATCCTTAGCCAGTTTTAGGAGGGTGAATACCAGCTGATTTTGCCACCAATCATCCAAAAAGGTACTAGTAAATTAAATCCATTGACTACAGAAGGAAAGAGGGGAATAGAAGGGAACTGATAAGATAACTCCAGTGTTGTCAACTCCAAGCACTCAAAATTAAGAACCAGATCTCCCAAGATCACAGTATTTTTTTAGATTACATTTTGGATTCATTTTCTTTGCCTACTAGTTTCTGATCCTTCAAGACATGCTCAAGTAAAAGGATTAAGTTTTCCTGTAACCATGGCAACTTGGAAGAAAAGAAGATGCTGAGATTTTCATACATTCACATGACTCCAGGAGCTGGGTGAATTCAGAAAAACACCAAATATTGTGAAACTCACTATGAAATTGCAACAGTGGTTAATATAACTCTGTAAAGGTGGGAGAGTGAGTGGAAAGGGTAGCCCGAGGCCTTTTGAAGATAAACTAGGTATAGGGTGAGTTCTAGTTTCATAACCTATTCAGGGAGGGTGAAAAAGTATCAAAACATATTTAAACAGTTAGACCCTGTATTAGAGTCTGTAATCATATGAGTACCAACTTGGTCACTCATCCTTAGTGCACCCAAATAACTGCATGTTTTACATAAATGTAGAGGTGCACTATTACGAACATTTGAGCTCTATTTAAAGCTTCATGTCTGTCTATTGAACTTCTATAATAACCCTGGCAGAAGGACACAGTATAATAGCATTTCATAGTAATCAATCAATAAATTCTCAAAAACTACATGTCAGATTTAAGGCAAAACCAGGGAGTGGAATACTGTTGGCCTGCCTGCAGTATGTTCCTTTCTTGTTTATGCTCAATGTGCTGTAATACCATGACAGACTCATCACTTTCTGGATGGGGAGGGGGTGTTTTTTGTTTTCTTTTCTTACTCAAAGAACAAGCACAAAGAAGTCCTGTAAAATTATGAACTGTTATATTTAAAGTTGTGCTATGCAGTAATTTCAAAAGGTGGCACAATGATTTTTAAGAACAGTATAAATATAAGACATCCTGAGGTAAGACTTGCTGCATTTTTTTTAACAGCTCTATTAGAAGCTGCTGAAAAATTGCACTGAGAGGAAAAAAAGGATGACAACTGCAAAATGGATAGCAAAATTTTCCCATTAAAAATCTTTTAAAACAATGAACACGGAAAATGCTTTATTATTTGGGGAGTTCATGTAACACACCCAGCCCCCGCCACCCAAAGGACTCAGGTAAGGATAGACTTCTGTAAAAACATATTGGTTCTAGATTTAGAGGCCAAGACTATCCCTGCCCCAGCAAACTTGTACTTCTTCTGGGAGAAGGCGGGGAAGATGCTAGCAGCTTGTTTCTGTAATTCTGCCAGCACTGCAAGGCTATTTCCTCATCACCACAGAAGGGTGATTTCAGGTGGGATTCGGAATAACAAAGGATAATAGATTCACCAGAAAACACCCAATGAAGAGTACCCAGAGGAACCAACAGTTTTGTTGGGTTCTTGGGCCAAGGCGGGGGGGTAGCTACATGTTCCCAGAAGATCCTTGGGAGAGAGGGGCGGGGCTGGCTATCCCAGCCCTTAGCATCACCCGGACTGCACCCTCCCCCCACCAGCAAGTCCTCGGTGCTACCCACAGCATGCCACCAAGGGCTCTGGCAGCAATTTAATGCTCCAGGGTTCTGGTTGCTTCCACTGCTGCAGTTGTGGGGGGGCAGGCATCTGGGAACCTCTGGCCATTTTGAATTGTCTGGCCTCAGCACAATTGCCCTCTTTGTCCCTCTCTCCCCCTGCTTATGAGTCAGAGTACTTCAGAAGACAGAAAGGCTATTATAAGCACTGAAATTCTGCTGACCCAAAACTTTGGGGACATAATCATGGCTCTGTAGAACCCACCAAAGCACAACCACCGGTATGCAATCTAGCAACTCAGACCATACACTGGAAGTAAGATTTGCTCCTTAATGCAAATTGTGTGGTGAAGTGTAATGTTTCTGAGTGCTAAAGCTTTATCTATATCTATCATGATGTTATTTCTGTAGCATCATATGTTTGGGTGGCACTTTACAGACACCTAAAGGGACCCTAATTTCAGTGTAGTCAAAGGGACACTCACTGCATGGATTCCTAAGTAAAATTAAGAATCAGAGGGGTAGCCGTGTTAGTCTGAATCTGCAAAAGCGACGAGGAGTCCTGTGGCACCTTATAGACTAACTGAAGTGTAGGAGCATAAGCTTTCGTGGGCAAAGACCCACTTCGTCAGATGCATGTAGTGGAAATTTCCAGAGGCAGGTATAAATATGCAGGCCAGGATCAGGCTGGAGATGACAAGGTGGATCCAATCAAGGATCTATTGGACAACAGTATATGTTTTGTTTATATAGTGTAGGCAAGGGAGGCTGGCTAGGAGTGGAAAGCAAGGGAAAAGTGGGACCTTTCTGGAAGAAGTAGAAAGAAGTGCATGTATTCAGTGCATGTATTTATACACACAGAATGTATCATAGCCTACACAACATCTTAAACTACAAGTCATAGTACCACCACTGTCTGCTTCCATCCATATTATTCCAGAAATTAAATTTCACAAAGACTTTTCTTGAGGTGGACAAAAAGCTGGGGGTGAAAGGCTAAGGATTATGAAGCAGTATAACTGTATTTCAGCAGAGCTACACCACGGTAAAACTGGAACAAATGAGTTAAACCTATGACAGACATATACTATTGGACAACAGTTTACGTAGCATAAAGTGACCTTAAAGGTGAGAGAGAAAGCCCAGACTATGATGCCCATAGTTTAAACAGAACGTGTTTTTGATTTTATAAAAAGCACTGCCATGAAACTTCCTGAGTACAGTACCACAAGAATTTCAGCTACACCACCATGTACTCTCCAAACTGTAAACTGCCATATTATTTCAGTCATTACTTTTGCCTTTTTTCCCTCCTCCTGAGCCTGCCAAGATAAAGTATAGCACACATTAGAGCTATGGTGAAAATATTTGAAACAAATTTATTCATTAAATAATTACTTCTGAATTCAGAGGATAGGCATTATGAATATAAGATTAAGTTTATAATCAGGTTTACAAATATGCCTCTTGATGTAATTATTGTTTTTCATTCCCAATGCACTGATGTACAGCAGACCAGCTATAGTCTCCTCTCCTTTCATAACCACAAAAATAGTTCTTCTGTTAATGTTTCTTAAAATACATATATACAGCAACATTGAGAAAATGTAAGAGACTTTCACCCCTTTTACCAGGTCATGAAACAGAAGATGACTATTATTGATTTTAACCAGTGTCTATAAACATGGGGTTTTATGTCAGAAGGTGGACTGTCACTAGCAAGACCAAGCAGTCTGGCACTTCATTCATTGTGTCAAACTAATAAGTGGTTTCTAGATCTTGTTTTAGCTGCAGTTTCACATGGGAAGGAAAGCAAGAGACAGAGAATGAGTGTGAAGAGAAACAAATCCCTGAACTAGTAAGCTACCTGTTGGAGATGCAACAGATTGGGTTAATTCTGGTTATATGCAGCAGTGGCTGATTGACTCTCATCACATTAGATAACATGAGGTTAAATTAATTAATTTCTATGGATAGTTCTAAGCAGGGAGCTAAATTAGCCAGGAACCAAAAGGGAGTCTTGCCTGAAGGTAAGCAAGGGTTCTAAGATTCTTCAAATAAAGCAACACTGGCCATTTTAAGCTTCTACAGGCCTGAGCTTTACCTTACTTTCATTTATTCCAAACTAGTACAATGCTATTGAGTTCAGCAGAGCTCCTCCTGATTTATGCAGATGTACTTAAGAGCAGAGTACCTCCCCTTTGATTTTTGTCCTTTGATAAAGTAAAAAATATTTTGATTTTTCAATAAAGCAAAATTTTTCAGGTAATGTATCAGTTATTTGGAAGTGAAATCGAATAATCTCTTTTAATCTCTGTTTGTACAAAACAGTTTTTCACAGTAACAAAAGAATAGATATAATTGTGCAAATATTTTAGACCAGTATTAATTCTAATGCAGTTTTTATGGCAAATCAAGTGCTTACCTTGCCACAATTTAAGAGAAACACACACAGTAAATATAATGTCAAAGCATGTCTTTGTATTCCTCTCTATTGTTCAGAGACATGTGAGTAAAATGTTATTGTACCTATCTAATGTGAATCTTAAGCCCAGTCTTTGCCTTATCATGCCTTGAGAATAGAAGGATTAATTTAAATGACAGAAATCACTTTGAGAAAATACAGTAAAAGCAGACATCTGTTGTATATAATACAAAAAACCAACAGCAGAGCGATATATAATGCTATGAACAACTGCAGTTAATAGAAGCCCTGGAAGCGGTCAATAAATTGATTGATTTCAATAGTCTTACCTGTTACACTATTAGTAAAAGTTCAGTCCGTGGCTGTCTACCATATGATGTGCTTGGCCACTGGGTGAAGTCCAAATAGAGTATTTGATCATAATAATCCTCTCCTGTCATGGACAACAGCATCTCTCACGGCACAGCACACCAACTGCTTGAAATGAACCTGTAACACAGATATTCTTTCATTTTAATTGAAAAATAGTCAACCATGTCCAAGAACCAGGGGGCATCACTACTTAATCAATAAGTGCTTCATAAAGAAGAGTGTACAAACCCATAAATGGCTCTTGATAAACATTAAGGCCAGAGACTGTGAAGCTTTTGCTCCACAGAAATTGGTTTTGCTGAATATGTGTTGCTACACCATGTAGTTATTGATCTATTAAAGCTATCAGGCTTAATAATAATATATTTATCTTTATAAAGTTATAGCTGTCCACTATGACTCTGCTGCAAACACAGCTGGAAGTCCCTTCTCAGAGAGGGTACATTTCACACCCCATCACGGGAAAAGCTCCCACCTGAAGTGAATGGGAATTTTGTCTGGGGAAGGAGTGCTGAGTAGAACTCTGTGAGGTAATATTTGGGTGTTCCATAGCAGGCTTCCCAGGTGACAAACAGCACAAGATCAAATACAAACTAATACCAATCACCTATACATTTTACAAGATAACTTTATATATACAGAAAACCTTCTACATCTGAAGGGAAAATATTCAGGGCCAGATACTCAACCAATACACAGAGTCAATGCAGCTGTGCAGATTTACACCAGAAAAGGATCTGGTTCTCAACACCTATTCCATGTTAAGCTTGCAAGATTTTAAAAAAGTCAAGAAATTCAATATTTCAGCATCCTGCAGCAACATTCACTCAACCTGGTGACACCTTCTGTAAATTTGTGGTAGATATCATATATATGAGTATGTCTACACTACCCCGCTAGTTCGAACTAGGAGGGTAATGTAGGCATACCGCACTTGCAAATGAAGCCCGGGATTTGAATTTCCTGGGCTTCATTTGCATAAACTGGGCGCTGCCATTTTTAAATCCCGGCTCGTTCGAACCCCGTGCCGCGCGACTACACGCAGCATGGACTAGGTAGTTCAGACTAGGGTTCCTAGTCCAAACTACCGTTACTCCTCATTCCACGAGGAGTAATGGTTCGAACTAGGAGGGTAGTGTAGACATACCCTATAGTAGCCCAGTGTCTGAGAGTCTGTAATTCCGAAATGCTGGCTGTTCCCTCTGAGGGGCACTGTTGCCTGAAATGCTGGCTGTTCCCTCTGGGGGGCGCTGTTGCCTGAAATGCTGGCTGTTCCCTTTGGGCAGCTCTGTTGCCTGAAATGCTGGCTGCTCCCTCTGAGCGGCCCGTGCTGCATGGGAGTGTGGGGCCCAAATGGCTGCTTGCTCCCCTGTGGCGGCCTGGCTGAGTGGCGCAGAAGTCAGCTGAGCGCCATGGCGGGAGGGGTAGGGGGGGCA